GTTTCTAAAAAAGCCCCGCCAGGAGTGTGTGTGTGTGTGTTGGGGTCACATGCGGCAGGTGTCGTGGAAGGCCTCCAAGGTCCTAAAGTCCCTCCAGGTTGGAGGAAGTCCGTCCTGCAGGAAGTGACCACATCTCTGACATGGAGACTGGAAGAGCTTGATGTAGCTCCTTAACCAAGTCTGCGGACACACACACACACACACACACACACACAAACACAAACATCAACACACATGCCGACGTCTGAACAAGCATGCACGCGTGTGTACATCCAACTCATGCCATATCTTCCTGACCATGAAGGAGCGCACGACGACGTCGGGCATCTGAGGAAGTTGGTAGTGCAGCAGGGCGGTGGTGGCGTGGTCCGTCACCTAGAAACCACAGCACCAATCAGTAGCTGTGTGATGGGAGATGCCCCACCCTCCACCCCACCCACACTCCTAACTCACCTTCTGGAAGACCTGATGCTGCGACTTGGTCCAGATGTCCAGCTAAGGGGGATAGAAAGCGTCAACGGGTAAACGGGCAAAACACACACACACACACACACACACACAGAAAGTGGTGGGTGTCACCTTGCCGTCGTGGTCGGAAACGTTCTCGTTGAAGCCCCGCACCAACGTTCGGTCGATGAACAGCGAGCGCATCACCATGATGGCCTTCAGCACTTTGCCCAACGTCACCTGACGGGAAGTGACACGTCAGCTCGCAAGGAAGTGCGCTTGTGCACGTGCGTGCGTACCAGCAGGACGGCAGACGTTCCGTTCGGGCGGAAAAGTTCAATGCTCATGTCGGGAAACATTCGGCCGATCCGAGAAATCACGTCGTCCACGTATCTGAAAAAAATAGCGACACAAAAATATTTTTTACAACAATTCTGTCAAACGTTTAGTGCGTTTCTCCAGTTTCACACAATCTACTACCAATCTACTCACTGTGGAGGAAGGACAAGGGTGCTGGGCTGGACTTTGGGCCGTCGCTTAGCCGAGGCGCCCATCTGGTTAGCCGAGCGCTTGAGCGATTGCTGGTTCAGCAAACTTGAGGCCAGGCCGGCGTGGTATTGCAGCTGCCGACAACAAAACGCGCGTTGGGTGAGCTGCCGGGCGCGGCGACCCGTAGCATGTCAGCACATTAGCGGGCCCACCACCTTGTTGGACCACTTGTAGGCCTGCAGCAGCTGCGAGTAGAGCGGCGTCTTGTCCTGGACGGGATCCAGACTCAGGAGGCCACTGTTGTGCAGAGGATGCGACTCGGACGGGCGGCCCACCAGGCCGCTCAGACGCTCCAGCTCGCTGATGCCCGGCAAGAACAAAGAGACAACTGGGATAAAGCTGACTTGAATGCTTCCCAAAACCGTTTATTGTGTTTCTCTGCCAGCGTTTGAGGCGCTTGCTCGTGCAAAGTGTGGCAAGTGGGCAACGGGAAGCGAGTCGGGCGGACTGACTTCAGATCCCTGTTGACCGCCTGCAGGTTCTCCTGGAATGCGGCGAGAAATTGCTTCTCGCGAGCCTCGAGCGTCTCTCGGTTCTTCATGCCGTCCTTCAGCGACTCGAAGACGCGGGTGACGCTGGAGCGCAGCGCCTGGATGCCGCTGATGGCGTGAGAAAACGCCTCCAGGTTGACGCCAACGCTGACCACGTCCGCCATCTTAGCGTCGCCGCCGCCGACGACTGCTGCTGTCGCACTCTGATGACGCCAAAGAAATGTTCACGCGCCGATGCTGCGTTCAATTCCCCCCAACACGAGGAAACGACAATTTCAATCAGTTCTGTACAATACTTGTTTACGAATGTATATTGCTGTACGCAATTTAGTACACACAATACAATTTAGTAGGCTGTGCGATGCAAGAATAATAGCATTCCGAGCAAACGTAACACGAACACAAATAACTAATATGACTACTGTCGAATAGTGAATAGTGGAAATCCATGTTTAATTGACGCCCACTGAAATAAATTGAGGGGGAATTTTTTTAGCAAACACCTAAATAAGGTTTAATAACGATTCTCGATAAAAAATGTTTTTTTTTTTTTAATCATTGGATAATTTGGCTCTGTTGTGGTGTGGTCTGGTAAGTCAAAAAAAGGGCCTGGAAAATTTCAGCCGTGGGCTAATAAAGGAGATTAACCTAAAGAGCTTTTGCGTGTGGGTGCGGGCGGGCATGTGTGAGTGACAAGGTCCATTAAAAAAAGGAAAGAATGAGTGAAGTGCTCCTAATAAAGTGACAAGTCAACTGTTGCTGCTGCTGCTGATATTGATGATGATGATGATAATGATAATGATGATGAAGTCAAAGAAGGCGGGGCTGGGGGGGGCGACAGATCCGAAGAAGACGAAGTCGAAAGAGGATGAGGCAGAAGGAGATTAGGAGAAGAGGAGGAGGAGGAGGCGCAGAAGAAAACGAGAGCTGCAAGCAAGCAAGAAGAAGATACAAGCAAAAGAAAGAAGAAGAGGAAGTAGGAAGCCATCCCAACTTTGTTCTCCATCGGCTCATCTACCCAAAGAGAAAAAGAAAGAAGTGAGATCTTGTGAGTGGATGAATGTAGCGCAACCTAGTGGCAATTTCTCTGACAGGCTCGATGAAAAACTACATCAAAGACGACATATTTGACCCCAACTCAGTTGTTCTACTTGGTGAGTGCAAATGTAGCACCTTACACATTAACCATGTCATTTGCATTTGTACCATACTCCATGTATATTCCAGAATTTACACTTACAACTTATATGTATACTGTACATACATATACACCCCGCCCCCCACCCCCCACACACACACACATTACTTACCAAAAAATGGCATCCTACAACAGTTTGGAACACGGCTGTATCACTCGGTGCAACATTGTGTTGTTGTCACATTGTTTCATGGTTTTTACAGCACGCTACATCATTAATATTGTGTTACATTGTGGCATGTCTTGTTAACATGTTTAACATGGTTTAACACTGTGCTGTATTTGTGTTACGTGTTACTTTATGTTAAATTGTGTTACATGTCCGGCCGGACTGACGCACGTGGCATCCGTCACGGTAAACACCAGGTAACTCGAACCCTACTTAAAGCTTACAACGCTCCAAGGAGTGAGCGCCATGTCGGACAGTGATGCCCGACACCACTGACCACCCCGCGGCCTCAAGAGGACCCCACAACTCTCTGAGGACCTCACGGCTCCCTTGAGGTGCCGCCCATGGATTCCCTCAAGCCCCTCCCACTCCTGCTTCTCTTGGTGACGTCCAGTCGATGTCAATTTGACACCTGTCGCTGGGAGGCAGGGTCCGGATGGAAGGACTCCGCCTGCCAGCCGCCGCCCACTAACATGAAAGAAGCCATGCAGATACGAGTCGATCCGCCAGGAGTCACCTGCGGGAACCCCCCGGAGAGATTCTGCACTCTGGTCAGTGTCCTCAATGTGTCTTCATATTTTCATGTCTTAATCTCTGAATGACTTCATATCTTGATGTTGTCGTAACTTTTCATTTTCTTGTCCTCAAATCTCGTGTTTTCATGCCCTTTGTCTTTTCGACTCCACACCTTCTCGCGCTCACATCTTCACATCCCTGTCCATGCGACTGGATGTGTCTCGGGGTGTGTCACCATTTAGGAGAACCCATACCTGTGCAGCGACGAGTGCGACGCGTCCAGTCCGGATCTGTCCCACCCGCCTCAGTTAATGGGAGACAGGGAAAGGGGCGGGCTCATCACGTATTGGCAGACGGTCACATGGTCAAACTATCCCGAGCCATTGTTGGCCAACATCACGCTGTCCTGGAACAAAAGTCTGGAGGTGGTGGACGACCTGGTGGTCAGCTTCGAATACGGGCGTCCCACCAGCATGGTGCTCGAGAAGTCCATGGACAAAGGTGAGACGGTGTACGTCCCGCGTCGGGCGGTCATGGTACGTCTCGAGTCACACGGTCGTCGTACTTCCTGCAACAGGGCTGACATGGCAGCCGTACCAGTTCTACGCCGACGACTGCATGGAGACGTTCGGCATGCCGCCCAAGCGAGTGTCCGAACTGGCACCCAGCAACGTGACCAGGGTCATCTGCACCGAGCAGTACTCCAGATGGGTGGGCGCCAAGGTGAACTTTGGACAACGACAGTGATGATAAAGTCTTTAGTACTCTTGTAGCTTAGTTTAGATTTGGAGGATTAAATCCACATTGGTCCAGTATGAAGCTGAAATGCTACCATGCTACTACTAACCTCTAGGAGGAGAAGACGGTGGTGTTTGAGGTTGGAGCCCGCTTGCGAGTGTTCGCAGGCCCCAAGCTCCTGAACATGGACGCGTTGTACACGCGCCTGCAGAGCAGCAAAGCTCTGCGAGACTTCTTCACCTTCACCAACCTTCGCCTCAGACTCCTGCGACCGGCCCTCGGCGGCACCTACGTCCAGAGAGACAACCTGCTCAAGTACTTCTACGCCATATCCAACATTGATGTACCTGCCAGGTACACATCTGCTCAGTTGTCATTCGCTTGACATCGCTTGTCCACGCCGACAAAAAAGCGATTGGATTGCATTTACACTTTGTGAATTAGTGCAGCATGTCAAGCATCTATTGAATTACGGAAAGCATGTGTGTGTGTATGTTCCAGGTGTAAATGCAACCTGCACGCGTCTCGTTGCGCGCTGCGCGACGCCACGCTGATGTGCGACTGCGAACACAATACAAGCGGACAAGACTGCCAACGCTGCGGTGCCGCCTTTGATTCCCGTAACTGGATGCCGGGAAGCTTCCTGCCGCTGCCCAGTGGCACCGCCAACGCTTGTATGTCGCACGCAATACACGCGCGCGCGCACACACACACACACACACACACACACACACACACACACACACACACACACACACATACCACGTACATACAGTAGATCATAATTGCTTTCTATTGATTTTATATTAGATTTCTATTGATAGGAACGTTTGCTTTTTAGGTGAAGCAGCAGAAACATTGACTAGTAAGTATTGATCTATCTATCTATCTATTTATCTATCTATCATCCATCCATCCATCTATCCGCGTGTCTTTCTGCATGTGTGTATGTGTGTGCCTTTCATCTGTTCTGTCAATCTCAATCTCACACCAACATGCAGACACCACTTTACTGACCTGATGTTTGAGGTCCTAAAAGTGATTTCAGAAGCACATGTGACATTCTTAAAGGATGTAGCTCATGCATGAGATCCTGAAGGAGGTTGCAGGATATGTGAGAGGTTCTAATGGAGGTTCCAGGTCATGGAAGAAGGAGTTGAGTTTGGTCTTGTTCGAACAGAAACACTTTTATTTGACCAAATTTAGCAACTTCACTCAATCGATTTGATTGTGTTTGAGTGTATTTTGTAGTCTTTTCTTGTGTGTGTGTGTGTGTCTATGTGTGTGTGAGGGTGTGTGCGTGGATAGTTGTAGAAGAGCAAAAAGGACTAAAAAGCCGTAAATGTTCTTCTCTGACAGCGGCCGATGACTCTGACAGAAGTTCTGCTTCAACACGTGGAATCACTGACACTTACTCGACTTCCAGTCTTGACTCTTCCACTCGTATTTCTAATTTTGTGACTTTTGAGACTCGGACTGATATCGGTAGTACTTGGACTAGTTCAACTCCTGCAACAATCACTGCTTTGGATACGACTGATACTTTCTCGACTTCTACGACAGATCCTTCTACTTCTACTTTTACTCCTTGGAGTTTTGACACTTCTATTGACAGTCGTAGTTTGTGGATTACTTCCACTCTTACAAGTATGACAGCACTCGAAAGAACTGACGCTTTGTCTCCTACAACTGCTGACTCGCCTTTGAGCTCCTCTTGGACTGCAGGCGGTTCTGCCGTTGACATTTCTGGCTCTTACCGCTTTATTACTGACAGCTCAGCAACTGACGACTCGATGACTGACAGCTTTATGGTTTCCAGTTCTACAACAGACTGTTCTACAACTGCTGCTCTGACTTTTGCAACAGAGGACAAAAATGTGAAGTCTTCTTCGACTGTTCCGGACTCTGCGAGTCCAAAGGGGAAAAGTGGTGATTCGGCATCAGCGGGGGTTGAACGTACTTCCCAGGTGGTTCCTCCTCTGAACACCTCAGGTGTCGGTCCGTCATTAGATGTTAGCGGTCCAACGGTACCAAGTGTCACCAGGGCGACCTCAAACATCAACACTGACTCTCAGGTGTTTATTTCTGACCCAGTGACTCCGCCCCCTGACAAGACAGACTTTGTCCCCTTGTGGTCATCCACCAGCAGCTTCTCAACTCCAAGCTCAAGTTCCTGGATGTCAGAAGTAATTCCCCCCAATGGCACGTTGCTCTCTGGAGATAACCCACCTCCTCAGACTTCATCTGCTGGTGGAGATCCTGCATTAAAATCGAGAATGTCTAATGGCTCTCCTCCCGATGACCTGCTCCCTATTCAAGCTTCTGATGGACTTCTCCCTGGTGTTGCTCCTGAAAATGTACCCCCCGCTCCCAATGGACTTCTTCCCGCCAGACCTTCTGATCTACCCTCCTCTGATGTACCTCCTCTGGAGAAAAGGCTACTTGAGATACCAAGCCCTGATGCAACCTCTCTTGATGTCCCACCAGAAACAGAGTCCATCAAGATAAATAATCCACCTGATGATGTATCGCCATCCGAGCGACCGCTTGTGAAGCAATCTCCTCGTGAAGATGGAACTCCCCTTGAACGAGGAAGTCTGGATCAAATTGCACCGTCTGACAGGTTACCTCCAGACACACCTTTCCCTAGGGAAGCTCCTGTGGATGGAGCACCAACCGATGGAGCACAGCCCTTTCCCCCAAATTCAGTTCCTGGTGCAACTTCTGATGCATTTCCTCCTGACAGCCCCACTCCTAAATTACCTCCTCCTGTGGGTGAACCTTCTTCTGAAGTACTTCCTCCTGGTGCTCCTCCTTCACAAGCTGGAGAAGTCGCACAGGACAAACAGTCAACTGCATCAGATTGGTCAGAGCCTATTGGGAACTTGGCCCCAGTGGACTTCACCTTCCCCTTTCCAGAAGATCAGGATTCCACTGCACAAGTAACAGAAGATTCCAGTCTGGATTCTGTTGATCCAGATCCCACTGGACCCGAAACCCCTCCTGGAACAGAAGACTTGAGTCCAGATTCTGGATTGGATTCAGTAGATCAAGAATCCACTGTACCTGGAACTCCCCCTGGAACAGAAGATTCAAGTCCAGATTCTGGATTGGATTCAGTAGATCAATTATCCAGTGGACCTGGAATTGAAGATTTTAATCCCAATTCAGGATTGGATTTAATTGACCAGGATTCCACTGGACCTGGAACGCCACCTGGAACAGTAGATTACAATACAGACTCTGGATTGAATTTTGTTGATCAGGATTCGACTGGTCCTGTAACACCTCTTGAAACAAAAAGTTTCAATCCGGACTCTGGGTCAGACGCAGGTGAGGGTCGTTCGGATTCCTCATCAGGCCAGACGGGAGATGAAAGCCCTCAGGAACCTGAAGCGGAATCTTCTGATTCTAGCCCCAAAATTCCTGAGCAGGAGTCAAGACCCGATTTTCCTGACGGAGTTGACAAACCAAGAGAGGATGCTTCTTTGGTGACCAAGAAGGAAGAACAAGAGTCAGACAAATGGAGGAAAGAGGAGAAAACCACTGAAAAAGGTGACAGACAGTTAGCTAGCTAGCTTTGATAGATAGATAGAATGGCTTTGAATTGAATTTGTGGTAATGTGAAAGAAGCAGCTGAACAGTTTCTTTGATTGACAGTTGTGGAGCCTGAAGAGGAAGGTTTGAAGGAACAAGAAAAGAAAGAGAACAGAGACAAGAAAGAAGAGAATGCAAAGAAAGTGTTTGAAGAGAAGAAAGAAGAAAAGGAGACGAAAGAGGAGGGAAAAGAGTTGAAAGAAAAGAAAGAAGAGAAAGAGGAAAAAGGCTATGAGAAAAAAGGTAACAAAGGAGCATCATGCCAGTTTTAACATTAGCATTAGCAACCAGAATATTCCTGACGCAATGCCACAGATGCACATATTTCGTTCTTTCTTTCTTTCTTTCTTTTTGCCCGTGAAGTGACTCAGAAGATTTTGATTCCCGGCAGTGGGACGGGCAGCCAACTTTCCAAAATTGCCTATGTCACCTTCCAGGGTAAGATAGCCCCAATGCTGCTCGTCGCGCCATAAAATTAACCTCGAGCTCCTGCCCTTCCACCATTAGACCCTTCTCCAGTGGCTCTGACTCCTCCCACATTTAATCAACCTCTCATTGGTCAGGATCACGAGTTCATTGAACATGATGATATGGTTGTCACCCTGTGATTGTCACGTGATCTGTCAACGTTAATCAACTGCTAGCATGTACACATTCACCACACGCATGCTAGCATACGCTTCTGTTCTGTGTGTGTGTGTGTGCATCAGAGTGCGAGTGTAGTGGCCACTCGAACCGCTGCAGCTTCATGGACTTCCTGAACGTGGTGACGTGCGTCAGCTGCAAACACAACACCAGAGGTCACCGCTGCCAACACTGTCGTCTCGGTTACTATCGGAACGACAACCTGCCACTCGATCACCAGGACATTTGTGTGGGTCAGTCAGTGCCCACTCGCATCCCACCCCCCCCACACACACACAATAGAAAAATAACACATGCAAAGGGGACAAAATTAGTCCCATTATGCGTGTAGCAGCCAGGCTCCAGACTTGAAAAGATTACCAAGTGGAGTCCAGGTGCACCATGTTGCAATCTTCCCCACTCACCACGCCACCTAGAGGACGTTGTGGATATGCAAATGGCCAAAACTGAACAAGCCACGGAAATAGGTTGAGGGTGGCGACTTGTTTTCTTTACCTACACACAGAACTCTGTATGTGCTTAGGATAAATTATTCCAGAAACTATACCTATTTTAGGACGGGTGGAGATAATAATAAAAAAATGAGGGGAGCAAAAAAAAAAAAAACTACAACAAAAAAACAGGAAACACAAAACAGGACTTACAGAGAGATCCTGACAGTGTTGTTGTCGAATTTGTGCATGTGTCAGAGTGCGATTGCGATGTGGCGGGCAGCCGGTCTCGACAATGCGCCACCTCGGGGGCCTGTCAGTGCCGGGAGGGCACCACCGGGAGGCGTTGTGACCAATGCCTGCCAGGATACACGTGGAGAGAGGGCAGTAGCGGCTGCAAAGGTATGTGTTGCGCGGGGGTGGAGGGCCCGATGATTGACGATTGATGGATGAGTAACCAGCATCACTGTCATCCAGCCAAGGTGTGCGACGAAGCTACGCCTTGTCAGAATGGCGGCACGTGTGTGGACTTCCTGCGCTGTGAGTGTCCTGACAAGTTCTCAGGTATGCGCACCGTGATGATGTCACACATCAGGCGAGGCACACCGATGGTGATGTCACACGACTTGTCAGGCTGCTTTTTTCTGGTTTGAATTGAGGCAGGGACGAGACTGTTGTGATCATTGGCACTCCGCTCAGCACATCAAATGTCGTGTGTGTGTGTGTGTGTGTGTGTGTGTGTGTGTGTGTGTGTGTGTGTGTGTGTGTGCGCGCACGCAGGCATGTACTGCGAGCAGCGTGTCTGTCTCAAGAAGAGCGGTTGCCTTGACAACGACACAAGCGCTGCCTCGCCAATGATGACCTCACGACTCTGCCTCCCACTCATCTTCAGCTTGATTGCCACTGCCGCCTTCTGACGCGCAACAGGAACTCAGATCGGAGAAACACTTGGTGATGTCATCATCTGGGCGACGCTAAAAAAAAAACGGAGCCTCTGGGCAGGACCGTTGCTGACTTTGTGCCTGAGTTCAACATCCTCAAAGAAATGTGACAATAAACGTGTCATGGAATACAGTTATAACCTCACCATACGTCCTAGTGACCTGACTTTTCGGGATACGATGTTTAACTTTGACTTGAGAGCAAAATTTGAGATACGAGCGATATTTGGTAACAGCGCAGCAAGCAGCAAAAACTGAAGAATTGTTCACAAAAGAAGCCTAGTGTGCTTTCTTCTGTCTAATGCCACTGCAAGTGAGTTTACTTGTAACAAAGGGAATTACACTGCGTATTTCAAACAAGCATGGAACTCTGCCGTCTGTAAGTCCACTAGCTTAATGCTAACACACAATGGGTAGACGGCAGACAAAACTACAATCGACGTTGTGGTATATTAACAACCCTTGAAGCGGCACACAATTGTTGCATTGATACATTTAGGCAGCCAACACAGTAGAATGATACTCGCAGGCATATATTCTTTGTCCTCCATGAAAAAAAGACTAATCGAGCCCTGGTCCACACACACACGAAGGATTTTTACATGGTTCAAACATGGCTCACCTGTGACGGTGCCCTACACACAGACACACAAAATGAAATTCTCCAATGTGAACACATTGGCATTGTAGACGTGACTTTGAAACTCTTCTGGCTTCTGTCGCCTTCAATCTGTTTTGTCATAGCATGAGTACTCTCTCACTGATACTGTACATGTTAATAAAAGTAGATAAAAAAAGTAGAACGTAACACAAGTGATTATTACATGAAAAAAGATTTTAGTTCTTCTTCTTAACTAGACCATTTAATTCTTAGGCATCACGTCAAGCCAAGTTGATTACTGTCCACTACCTCAAAATGAAGAAAAAGTTGGAAATCCTTACATCGTCCCCAAAACTTAATGCTGGAATCTATTGCGTCATCACCAGCGGACGTTCCACTTCTACCAGCCGCACGTGACGTAATCAGAACGCGACCGGCATGATGCGCAAGTGGCGGACCTTGGCGACCTTGTCGGTTGGAGCGGCCGTCGGCGCCTCGGCCAGCCGTCAATGGAGTCTTACGGGGAAGGAGGAGGAGGCCGCTCCGCTGGCCCGGGTGCCGCTGGTTCCGGTACCGAGCGTCCACGCCTCCACCGAATTGACGGTGCGTGCCCGTGTTGACGTCACTAAAGCCACTCGTCTCTAATCGTGCAAACGTGAACGATTTCTGCAGACTGACTCACCTGAAAATTCTCATGTTAGATATATATTATTATGACTTACCGATTTGAAATATGGACGAATTTGTCAGTATGTTTTTCGTCTCCCTTCTTCAGAACGAAAACAAAAATGCAGTGTCTCAATTGTTGTAGTTGAGCAGGCCTTCGGGGGGCGCTGTAATGAAATACGGCTTCCCCTCGCTATCCAACGTTCGCACGAAAGAATCGTATGTGAGCTCGTACGACCCGCGAACCAGGACGCCCGCGTGGGTCATCGAGAGGCTCGCGGGCGACACGCTCGGCGGGACGGCCGACAGGAAGTGCTGCGACTTCAAGGAGGACGACAGGTCGGCCTCGTGAGCCTGCGTCCCTGTGATATGTGCACAATTAAGCATCATCATGTGTGCGTGTCTCCGCAGCGTTCACGTCTTCCACCGAGCCACCAATGCCGACTACAAAGGCAGCGGCCTTGACAGAGGTCACATGGCGGCGGCGGCCAATCACAAGTGGAGCCAGAAGGCCATGGACGACACCTTCTACCTGACCAACGTTGCCCCTCAGGTACGCATGCGCTGTGCTTACTTCTACCACATTGTCCACACACACATAATTGCGTGTGTGTGTGTTTGTGTGCGCACAGAACCCCCACTTGAACCAGAACGCGTGGAACAATCTGGAGAAGTTATGTCGCTCGCTCACTAAATGCTACGCCAACGTCTACGTGTGCACAGGTCCACTCTACCTGCCCAGGTGAGTGGTGCTACGGCGCTGTTGGAAAATGGAGATGTTTGACATCTTCACTTGAGGAGGCAGTCGATCTGTCGTGATGTCATCTTCCTTTGTACATTATTTTTGTCTCATCCATTGTTCTCGCTCTCTCTGTCTTCACATGATATGACGGGAAGATCGTATAAGCCAAGGGCAAGCAAATTCAAGGTGGCACTCTAACCTGTTTTTCAGGCAGGAAGCGGACGGCAAACTTTACGTGCGCTACCAAGTTGTGGGCCGGAACCACGTGGCCGTGCCAACGCACTTTTTCAAGGTCAGCTTGCGTCCTCACCGATGCCATCTTGAAAGTGTGAAGTGTGTCGTGTAGCGAATAGAATGCAAAGAATTGGACAGTTTTTACACCTTGATTTGATTCAATGGACAGGTTTCCGCCCCTTCTGGTGTGTGTGTGCCTCGACCACTGGGGGGCAGTAGAACACAAATCAACATGATAATGCTCACTTTTGTGAGCGTTATTTTATGTTATCTCGGGTTAGTACTGCGTTTGTCATCATGCATTTACATCCGACTCCCGAGATAGGGTTACGGATTTTTTCCTATTCTGGTAGCGTCCTAAAAATCACTTTTGTAGTGATGTCTGATTCCCGAACCACTCGATTGAGCCACATTTTTCACGCTGGGGGATTTTCAGGGTGTTTGAAGTGTGCATGCCATGTTTTTCTCGATCGTTCCACAAAGATAGCAGCCACTGCTTACGCTGCTAACATTACAAGCTAATAATATTCAGGACGTTTGTCGCTTTGTCAAGGCTTGTTGATATGACACGCACACTCAATATGGCGGACGCATCGACACCTTTCATTTTGTGTGTTGCCGATGTGATGCGTGTCGCCTTCCTTTTGCGGGCACAGGTGTTGATCCTGGAGCGCCGTGGCGGTCAGCAGGGCGTGGAACTGCGCTCGTACGTACTTCCCAACGAGCCCGTGGACGAGAAAATTCCTCTGGAACGTTTCCTGGTTCCCATAGAAACCATCGAGAGGGCGTCGGGCCTCCTTTTTGTCCCCAACATCGTCAGGGCGAGCGGCGGCGCCGTCAGCGCCATCGCCAACAAATAGAAGTCAAAGGAGGAAGTGCTTCCAAGCTGGCGAGCGATTGATGAGTGGACGCCGTCGGCTGTCCTTCGGTCAGCGGAAGGAAAAGTGGCGCATTTGTCGACACGACTGACAGCAAAAATAAAACCAGCAAGCATTCATCCAAAGCAAAACTTGTACGCCGTGGCTGGCCTTAATTCTCTTGATGGATGTCGAAGCCGAGAGGCGGGTGCCTACGGGGCTTCCTGTGTCAAGTGAGCATGTCGTTAGCATTTTGTGAGCATGTTCTCCATACCTTGTCTTTTTCCTTTCACGTCCCAAAACGTGGTAGCTTGATTGACGACCCACAGGTGGGAATGAGTGGAAATATGCATTCAGTGGTGACTCAAAACACAAAACTAAAATTTTACTCTCTATGAAAGATAACCCTTCCATTTTTTTTCCTCAATCTGCCAGCCATTTCAATCTGGGCTGCTTTTTTTGGTTGTCTCCTACTAAGGGAGATGACTTTATTTGCACATAGCGCCAACTATTGGGCAGGAGGGACCGAGCAGCGATAAGCGTCGCTGATTTGAAAATGCTGGCAGGTTGCAAAACGTGCTGCGCTGATGCCAACGACAAGTCCATCATCTGGGCTCCCACCATGGGGCTGCGGTGCCACCTCGGCCCCCTTCTCTGGCTCCGCCCCTGCGCCCTATTGTACATGCGTGCTAGGATTTTTTTTTTTTTTCCCCCTCACATCTTATACTGCATGAGAATTTGTGTTTGCGTAGCGACGCACTCACATCGTCGAAAATTCAAGGCGGTTTTCAGATTCCAATGTTGATTCTCGGATTTTGCTCCAGCCAGAGCGCATCGCCTTTATTTTAGCCAGTCCCAACTCTCGCTCAAGCTGCACTGAGCGAATGAGAACAAGCTGTATGAACTACAGATGGCTGCGTATCAGATGCATTTCCTGAATCCGGTGAGGAAAGCGAAGGGAGCTCTCACACTGGGGACACTTAAAACAGTTCATGGAACTGAGACAGATTAAAAAAAAAGTCAGTATGATGTCACTTGCTCAGGGTGAGTGGTTGGTGCACATTCAAACAAGCGTTGCAACTGGCGGTGTTTCAACTGAGTTCACGTGTCTGACGTCAGAGGTTCCGATTGGCCGTTAGGCTGAGCGTCGTCGCCCGTGGTTTGGGTGACTTCCTCGAAAGGAATCGGCGCACATTCGAGCCAGCGGTCCGATCGGCGTTTGCTTCGCTGAGTGTTATCCACTTCCACAAAGTCGCCGTCTTCTCCGGACGTGAAGATGTCGAAGAGAGCGTACGAGTCGTTTGGGGGTAGTTGCTCCTCTGCCTCGTCCTCCTCCACGTATTGGCTGTAGCGACACAGCTGGTCTTGGAGCCGGGGCGCCACGCGGTCCTGCAGGAAGTCGATGATCTCTGTGGGGGGCGGCGGCGAGAGGATCGGGATCGCGCAAAGAGGCCAGGAAGTGCCGACGGGTCGCTACGATAACCCACCTCCGTAGGAAAGCTGAGACCAGCCGGGAACGTAGCAGACTTTGAGGCTTCGGAAAAGCTTCTGGACACAAACCGGAGTCACGCCGCTGAAAGAGCGACACGGCCGCATCAGAATCTTCCGCCGCCGTTGCAACGAGAATGTTGAACTCACCCCACGATCTCAGAAACCTCCTCCCAATCGATGTCCCGGGCGTCCTCAATATTCAAAGCGTACAACCTGCAATCAAACGAGCGCAGCGTCCAACCTTGGTGTTAGCCGATTCCGCCGCGACAAGCGCTACACGCCACGTGTGAACACCCCAAACGCGGCATCTTGATCTTACGTGCTGATCAGCTGGATTTTGATCCTCAGTCCTTTAGGACTTTTCCTGTGGGTTTTCTCAGCCAGTCGGTACCTCAGGACACTGAACCTGAAACACAACGAGCAAGGTGACTTAAAAAAACATTTTTTTTGGGTGGCGCTCATCAAAATGGATTTCCCACTTCCGGGAAAACCTGAAAGAAATATTTGAAGACAAAGTTACGCCCGCATGCGCTCGGCTTCACTCCGTCGCCTTCCGCTAACCTGGAGTCACTTCTTGTGTATTCCCACGAAATCAACCGATGTCATTCATCATTCAAGGTACAAAAGCGGGCGAGAAACGATGATACAATATTCAATGCGAAATGTGATTTTTTTTTTTTTTTTTTCTTTCTAGGTGGAGATGAGCGGAAGGGCGTCACTGACCACTTCAGGCGACACTGATTCCAGTTTCGGGTGCGCACGTACTGGCTGATCTCCATCCAGGGCAAACGTTGGCAGAGCTGCCGCAGCGTCAACTGGCCGTCCTTGGAATCGGCCGAGCTTGGTCGAGCCATGACCTCCAGGTGAGCCTTGACAGCCTCCTTCAGCCTGGCCTCCTCCTCCGACGTCCAAGTGCCTCGACCCGACGCTGAGCAGCGAGCGGGACGACAAAACATCGCACCGTCAACAAAGGGGCTTTGCACATCTAATTCACGAGAACAGCCACCCCAAGCCGAGCGATACCGACGACTTTTGACGCGGCGCCGCCGGCGCCAAGCACGACAACAGAAGGTGAGAGGAACGAGCACGCGGACAAAAACGTTACCCACACGTTTGGGCGAAGCGTTTCTGCAAGGCGAACTTGCTGCGGCCCATCTTCTTGGCGATGATGCTCCAATCGTTGCCGTGGATCTTCTGTAACTTGATCAGATGCTGGAGCTCCTCCTCGGAGAACCTCAAAACAGGACACGACCACGTCAAAAGTGCAAACGCGGCGGCAGCGTCGTCGTCTACTTGACGCCTTGACATACGAGTGAGCCGAGAATTGTCACCGACATTCTTGTTGGGTTTCATTGTGAGGTTGGAACGGATCACTGGCACTGTAATTCATTTCAATGGGGAAAGGTGATCTGAGATGTGAATGTTTGGCGCTCGGAGTGGGGTCGCGGGACAAATGCAACTCTTATCTCAAGGCGCCACCGTCTCCAGAGAACAAACGTGGAAAACGGCTCTCACTTTCCCATGTGGTTCGTGGTGTCGAGCTTCAAAGCACGCGTCAAAACCTGCCTGCACGGCCTGGGGATTCCCTCGGCTGCGTGACGGGACGACACGGGACGAATCAGCGCGCGCCACCAATCATTGAACATGCGTGCAAGCGGACAGTGTGTGCGTGCGCGTCCCACCGATGGCCTCGATGAAGCTATGTTGCTTTTTCAGCTTCCTGATTTCTGCCTCCAGGTCCTTGTAGCGGTGCGGGAAGAGAAGCTGTTCGGTGGAGGCGATGCCCGTCACGGATAGGAGGTGCGCCATGTTGTCTCGGATTCGCTGGTTCTCCTCCCGAGTGAAGCGCCCCCAACGGATTTGCAGGCCTGCGTAGATGATTTGTCAGGACTCGGTGTGGGTAGACACTTCAGGGGGGGGAATAATAGGAGCTCTTTTCAAGCGGGAGCGCCACCTTGCTCCTTGAAGATTTGGAAGCGGTGCAGGTCGTGATGCAGCAACTTCCTGATCTCCCTCAAGGGCCTCGTCCTCACGTTAGGGACAAACTCTTCCAACTGCGCCACCAAAACTGGGGAAAGCCTGAATCACGTACACACGGAAACCATGTTAGCAGAGAAAAGCAGGGGCGGCGAACGTCATGGCAGGCGTCTTTCCAATTCCTGCTCGGACTTAGTTGCATACAAGTCACAAAAAGTGTTGTCAAGAACGCGGCGGAATGGCTCGCATTCGCCAAGGATTGACACGCCGGACAAACGGAGGTGCGATTTCAATGTGCGATGTGTTAGGCGGCATTCAGACCCGCCGTGTCAACTTAGTCGATCAGCGGCGACAACTCACACGTCATCGTCGTCACCGATGACGGTTGCGTCCGTTTCCAGGGAGACGGGGCCGTCCCTCGCCTCGGACCCATTGATTTCTTCGGTCGCCGCGGCAACCTCCTCTTCCTCCATTCTCATCATTTCCTCCGTCTCTTGCACGCCGGGCAGAAGGATGCCACCTTCTTCTTCCACTGTTCTTTGCTTCGTCTGGGTGTGCGCATCGGCGGGAAAGATGCTTTCTTCATCTTCGTCGTCTCGTTTCTTCTTCTTCTTCTTGTGCTTGTTGGCGGCCGAGTCAACGGGAAGCATGTTTTCCTCTTGTCTTTTTTCCTTCTTCTTCTTCTTCTTCTTCTCTTTCTGCACGTCAGCAAGAAGAACACCGTCGTCATCTTCTGCTTCTTCTATTTTCTTGCTCTTCTTCGTTTTGCAGGCGAGCTCATCAGCAGTAGAGACGCTGTCGTCGATGTCGTCTTTTTCCTCTTGCCTTTTCCTCTTCTTCCGGCTGCTCTTGTCAGCAGGAAAAACACTGTGGGCTTCTTCCAGGTTCTTCTTCTCCTTTTGGGTGTAGGCACTGGCAGGAAGAAGGACGTTATCATCCTCTACTTTGTCTTGCGTTTTCTTTTTCTTCGTCTCCTGGTCAGTGAGGCCCACAGCCGGAACAACTCGGTTTTCTTCGTCTCGGATTTTCTTCTTCTGTTTGCGCGTAGACCCATCGGCAGGAATCATGTTGATTTCATCTCTTTCTTCTCTCTCCTTCTTTTCATGCATGTGCTTGTCTTCTTCTTCTTCTTCTTCTCTTTTCTTCTTCTGTTTGAGAGCTTGCCCATCAGTGAGAAGAAGGCTGTGGTCGTCTTCTAAACGTTTCTTCTTTTTTTTCTTCTTCATGTTGGGTGTTGAGATATCGACAGGACTGGGAACTGCTGAGCGTCTCTCTTTGTCTGCCGGGGGAAAAGGCGACAGGCCACATAATGGCAATGCTGCCTCCATTGATCAGCAAAACTAGAAGAGAGGTTCTGTGGTGGTCTTCCTGCGTAGGAAATGAAGTTCACTCGTGAGTTCAAGTCATGTGCTCCGTGCATTTATGTCAAGTAGAAATGGGACGTTTAAAACTGAGGTAACGGCAGCGAAACCAATTAAATGTTTAATCGTCTCATCGTATTGTTACTTGTACACAACAAATTGATGGGTTGCTAATTTTGAAATTAGTCAACTATAATAGTTTGCTTAATTCTTATTCAAGTGAGTGTAAGGAAGGTAACAAATCGTTGCAAAATCTCAACGTTATTTATTACACATTATACTATCACACAACTTGACATTTCGGTACAGATTTTAGCAATGATCATGAAATTGGACTCAGATGACTTGCTTTCACATGATTTACTTTATAAGGCTTTGAATATTTTCAAAATCAATAAATATGGCAAAGCCCCCAAAAGCTTCACAAGGCAAGAAAAAAACGGAGCAGATAATGAAACCAGACCCCCCCCCCTTGGTAAAATAACCCGGTATTTTGAATTAAGATTGACAAAAGGGGCAAATGATGCCTATATGAAATGCGGCGGGCTACCTGAAGTTGAGTCGACTGCCAAGAGGACGAATTCGATTTGCGGACGAGCACACTCCGCGTCAAACTGTTTTGCTCTTAAGTTGCGGCAACGCTGAAAAAGTTCAAGTTTGACGATGCTTGGAAAGAAAACCTTCCAGCGTGTAGTGCGCGCAAAAAGAGAACGGGTTACCTTACCTCGCGACTCTTTCCTGTTTCCGGGTCACGTCGTCGACTGCTTCCTGTTTGCAGAAGCCGCATGCGTCATGCGTGTTACCAAGTTTTAAGACCGGACGTCAACTCAGCCGCCATATTAGTCAGGGCAAGGCTACGCTTTGGACCGACGGGGAGACAGATAGACAGCCAGAAAGATAGGTAGCTCGATAGCTAGCTCGCTACAAAGCCAGCTAGATAGATAGACAGTTTAATATCCTGGAAAGTTTGCTAAAGTCTGTGCCAGAAACAAAATAATATAAATCGTAAAAGTATAAATATAGCCCAATTGCCACTTCAATGGCCAAACAACTAGTGAAGGTATTATAATGGTAGTAATTATATGTAATGGCATATTGATGAGTTAAATCCATCAGCATGTAGCTTTCAAATGTGAAACACGAAAAAGCTTGAATTCAAATTTGTACTTAAGGCAATCCTCATCCCCAGCCCCCGCCCCGACTCCAAACTACCCTATAAGGACACATTCCTGCAATGACTCGTTCACCGGCCGTATCTCCTCAGGATTGACATGCAAAATAAAGCATACACTCTCACAAACAAACATGCACATATGCACACACACACAAACACACACAAACACACACACACGCGCACGCACACTTATTTAAAGGTTAATGCATTTGTCTGTTAGTGTGTGTGGGCACATGTTTATCAGCTTTAAGGTCTTCAAGGGTCACACATTATCTCGGTAGAGTGTTTCCATTCCATCTTTGGTCATCGCGGTTGGCCAGACACAGCCTATAAGAACATTGCACATCCCTTGTCCGCCACTCGCCCGCCACTTGCCAACATGGTCCCCA